CCAGTGAACAGTAACATGTCCGATTTAGTTTAGTTTTAAATTAAATAAGTACCGATCCAAATTTTTGTTAAAGGAACATTCAGATTTGTTCATATGTGGACTTGTTCCAATTCAATAAAATTCCGATGCATCTGAATGTCTAAATTTCATGAAATGTGAACAAATATCCATTGGGAAACAAAACAAAATTAACATGTCTATTATTTATTCCTGACCTCTACACTAAGGATTGGTATCGGGGCAAATACAGGGCATTTTCATGAGTACTTGTGAAAATGCCCCGATACTGAAGGCCGATACTGGCCCTTCAAATTTTTTTATCGGCTGCCTCAGATCCCGCGCATGTGGAGTCCTGAGGCAGCCTTCCGGGGACCTGGCAGTAGCTGTCTTTGTCACTGCCTGCCAGGTCCCACATCTCCTCATCCTGATTCCTGGTGCAGGCACAGCTTGAGGCAGCCCCACACCTTGAATACAGCCTCGGAGCGCTGGGTCGCCATTCTCGACAGAACACTGGCAAATTATCCAATTCAGCTCACTTTCCTGTTCAGCTATGTTGTCTTAGATTGTTCACTTCTCCTGCTTTCTCCAAACTCTTCACCGTTTTGTGAATAGCCCTGTAGGTGTGCTGCCTACTTCCCCTTCTCCGGTGCCCCAGCTCTTCACAATCCCAGCACCACCACTGACTGCAGAATTTTTATCTCAGAGATCCCTAAGACTTTCATACATTTCATTCAATAAATATATAAAATTAACAGTGCCAATAAGCAAGCTAACAGCTACAAGGCACTGGAATGTACACCCACTGTGAGTGTGTATACGTGAAAAATGAATAACTAAATGTGCCGAGCTACAACAATGATCAGATATAAAGAGTATAAAAAAACAGTGACTCAAACAAATGTCAGAGAAAAAATCATTCAGGTGTAAAGTCTTTAAATCTTCATAAATCTGCAAAAATGTTCAAATATAGTAATAGTGATTAATATTTTTTGTTCCTTCACCAAATGCACCACGTGCACCACACCAGATATAGGGGTGCTCACCTTATTGATAGACCCCAGCAAGAGGTCAAATCAGGCAATTTCCTTCTTAACCAGGGTAGGGGCCTGATGTGGTGCACGTGGTGCATTTGGTGAAGGAACAAAAAATATTAATCACTATTACTATATTTGAACATTTTTGCAGATTTATGAAGATTTAAAGACTTTACACCTGACTGATTTTTTTCACTGACATTTGTTTGAGTCACTGTTTTTTTATACTTTCATACATGTAACTAATTTTGCTTTTATTCTTGATTCTTTATTATTTGGTTCTATGTGGAAATAGGTGCAACGCGTTTGTAGCTCCTCTGGGCAATCCCGAAAGATTGATCTAAGTATCTGATATCTCTGTTTTGCTAACCTTTTAAAATAAATGTGTGAAATATTTGCTGCAGTTGTTAAAGCAGGAATTTTTGATCCTCTGGAATAGATGCTTCCAGGGTTGTAAAAAGAACTCAAAGCTGTTCTTCTTTAATGTGCCTTTGTCACATTAAGCCTTAAATATGCTGTCTGTAGCACAAGTGTTTCATTTACGCTGATGATAAGAGAATTGGATGGAACATCCTAATACCTTTTAGCCCCAGCTCTGCATTCCTGTATGTTCCGTGTTTTGCCTGGCCAGAAGTCTCACCGTCAGCTGTAGCTCCTCAGCGATATGAAGTCCTTAGTAACAGCTGGATTTTCTCACTGCCTTTAATAAGGCCGAACTAGACCATAGAAAATATCTTACTCAACACAATTTTTAAACAGGATTTCACAAAAATGTTATCAGTGATATAAACGCAGGATGTTTTGTCCAGAATACATAGGAAATATTCTCTTGATAATGAGTTTTTTCCTCTAATTGGGGTCAGAAAACCTAAATTTCCTCTGTTGTTGGTCTCCTCTAACCTTAAGCGGTCCCCGCAAATACCATCAATCAGCTTCCGGCACAAGAAGTCTTCCATCGCTAATAATTTATTTGGAGCTCTCTTCAGTAGATCTTGTGGCATGTAGGAGCCACAAATATGTTACTAGTGATGGGAGACGCCCTATGCTGGGATTGCCGGTATTTACAAAGATTGCTGCAGATTACAGTAGACTAGATCAGCAGCATTGTGAGTATATTTCAAGTCTGCTCTGGGGGTAGTGTGGAGTCTTTGGGATAACCCAAAATGGTACCAGTACTTGTCACATGCGCAGTAACAGCACAAAGTTGATAACATTGTGTTGTTACTATGTAGCATGTGCATGGTAGCATCAACATTTAAAGGACTCCAGGCAAAAAAGAAAAACTTACCCTTGAAGTGGGGCTACTCCTACACTGGAAAGGTTATGTTCTTGTTTTGTCTAGGCAACTCATATAAACCAGTTTTACTTATCTGATCCTGGCTCCCGTGGTGGTCAGCGTTCACCTCTCTCCCCCTCTGCTCCTGATTAATGTCCTTCAGCATCCTCTCGTCCAATTCAGGTCAATGGACCTGCATAAGACGTGATGATGTCAGTGGTCCTTAGACTGCGGGAGCCCAGGGGAATGGGGGGGACCTTGCAGTCCAGTGGTAGCCCCACTGCAAGTGTAAGTTTCTAATTTGCCCAGTGTTACAGTTACATAGTTAGGTTGAAAAAAGACAGTCCTTCGAGTTCAACCTATAGAGTTCTTCTTTAAAAGTAGACCAGCCCCATCCACAACAGCCATACCCAGGGGGAAGAACATCTGGAATGTTCCTTGCAGCAGGTGAGTTTGTTTTGCAATGGAATGGCCTTCTAATTTTTGGCCCACCTTTGCTCACAACACCACTCTACCACCTAGCTTCT